GTTGCCAATATATAAATAAATATATTTATAATGGCATGGTTGATTTGTCAAAATGTAATTATATTGCTGTGTGTTAGATGATTAAAATATCATCTATAGTTATTGTATGTATAGGTTAGATTATGATTAGATATTCTTAAATTAGAATAGTCTAGTACTTACAGGTTAGTGTATTATTTTATGCATATTAATAAAATAATACTAGTGGAGACATGGATGATTTGTCAAAGCTTAGATTTTGGATATGTGATTTAAATAATTAAAATCATTATCGGATTTGGGATTAAATATTATATTCTTTTAATTATAATTTATTATTTAAATGATTAAACAATTGACTAGGATGGGATTAAGGTTAAAGGAATTTCTTTTTAAAATAAATGGTAGATTGGTCTAGGAATGATTATTATTTTAATAATTATTTAATAGGTATGAAAATTTAATAAACTTATTAATGGATGTGATTAGTATAGTATATATAAATATATATAGACATGTATATCGTACTTTATTAAAGTTAAAACTTTATTAGGTTTGGTTTTGATCAGAAATGATCTACTTATTAGTTTTTAGAGGCTTGGTAGAGTTAACTTGCTCGTAGGGTTTAACCCACGATTTATTTTTCAGGTTATTAGAGGTTCCAGTCTCGAGGTTGAGGATCCGCAGCTAGGAGACTGTCATTCATCTATTCATCTTGTGTACTTTTAAGTAGTATTGGATTATTGGATATTGTTTTAAGGGGTCCTTGAGTTATGGGATTCCCGAGCTGTAACCATTGGAGAATTATTAATGGATTTATTATTTAATAGATTTTCCTTCAACAAGTTATTTATTCTTTTTATTTTCTTTTTATACTCCGTGCTTGTTAAGTACTTTAATTATTTTTTTGATATTCCTTGATTTTGTGCGCGGACTTGATCAACCCGTTCCGAAATTAGGGGGTATCAAAAGAACTCTTTTCACCCGATAGAGAGTCAAAATGAAGCCCTGCGAGCAAAGGTCTCCAACCAGCTGATTCTGTGAACAATCTCGAGTAGAAATCTGCAATACCCTTGCAAATCTCCTCCTCCTTACATAACACCTCCCCATCCACTCGGATTCTCCCAATATGATTGCCCCTTCTATGAGCATTAGCAAGTCTATGAAAAAAATTTGTGTTCTTATCCCCTTCCTTGAGCCACAAAGCTCTAGACTTTTACCTCCACGAAATCTCCTCCAAAACAGCAATCTCAGCAAACTCCGCCTGACACTCCACCCTCCTACGTCTCAAGGAGTCCGACAAAGATCCCTGACCCTCAATCCGATCAATATCAGTAATATCTGAAAAGACCCTATTCTTCCGCCAAACCAAGTTACCGAAAACCTCCTTATTCCAAACTTTAAGATCGTTCTTCAACAGACGAAGCTTACTTGCGAGAAAATGACTAGGGGAGCCACTCATACAACACCCCTCCCACCAGGATCGAACCCTCTCTAGAAAACCTTCAGCTCGAAGCCACATATTCTCAAATCTGAAAGGGGAAATAAAGGGTGAGCCAAAGTGGCCTGAACAACATCCGAGAACTTCTCCTCCCAATCGCTCGGCACAAAGAACCTGTCAAGACGAGAGAAAGTAAGAGGAGAATGACCACTAAACCACGTAAAAGAACCACCTACCAAAGGCAAATCAATTAATCTCTACTCATCAATGAACTCTGAGAATGACTCCATTTCAAATGTCCATCTTCCCCCTGTCGACCTCACAAAAGAAGAACGGACAACATTAAAGTCCCCTCCAACACACCAAGGCAACTCCCATCGTCTACGGACCTCTCCCAACTTCTACCAAAGCAAATGTTGTACACTGTCTTCTGAAGGACCATAAACACCAGAGAAGACCCAACGAAAACCAACCTCCAACAGAGAAAGAATGCAGGAAACAGAAAAGAGCCCCACCTGAGAGTCTCCAAAAGAAACCCAATGGTTATCCCACATGATAAGAACGCCACCTGTAGAACCAATCACATCTAAAGCAATCCACTCCACAAATCCCCCCCCCCCCAACAAGCTTCTCACGATCAAGTCCGTCATCGATGCAATCTTAGTTTCTTGTAAACACACAACATGACCACCCTCTTTCCGAATCACCGACTTCACAACTTTTCTTCTCTTCGGGTCATTGAGCCCCCGGATGTTCCATGAAAAAAGGCGTAGCTTCATGAGGAAACAGATGAAAAGTCACTCCCACTCCTCCTTCCACCGTCCCTCTCCCTAGACCCCTGTTCCTCCTTTCATAAGTGACGACATCAATATGACTCCTCTCCTCCCTCTCCCCCACCTCAACCTGCAACCCATCCCTTCAACCTGCCCTCTCCAAAATCTGAGCATCAATGACCTCATTAAACAATCCCATCGCCTCATCCAACCTACCTTCAAACGACACACCCAAAAGAGAACCCACCTCTCCACCCTTCTCTCTCAACCACTCCTTTTCCAAACTCACCTTACCCATACCAACCGCTGAAACTTCCATGCACTCCCCCTCTGGCCCCATCACAGCCAAAGAGACAACACAGTCAACATCATCACCACCCCATTCCTATTAAACCAAGCCCAAATCCTCTTCAAAGAAGGAACCTGAGCCTTCCTCCCAAGTATCGGAAGAGGAAGGGGAACCACAAGTCAAAGGCGTCCCAACCTCCTCATCAAACAAAGAACTTCTTAAGATGTTCTGCAAGCCTTTCAATGCTAAATGGTCCCGCAATTCCTTCAAAAAAAGGTTAGCTGTTACATCATCTAGCTTAATTTTCACATCCCTTCCCATGCAAACAGTAACTCCCTTGCTACTAAAATCACACAGCCGAGAGGAGCCAAGCCCAAAATCACAACCTTCACCATGATCATCAACCGCCGGTTCATCCTCCAAAACTGGGGACAAACATTGAGAACCCGACTCTCCCACGCCTTTATTTAACCCCAAACAACTTCGTGACTGAGAGAAAGAGGGAGAAATAGGTTGAAAAAATGGTACTCCATGTGAAATACTTGACTTGCCCGGAACAGAGTCAATCGGCGTTCTCGGAACCCACTTCTGCTTCGCCTTCCTTAACCATCTTCTACTAAAAGAAGGAAGAGACACATTTTTCTTCATACGGTGACCCTGAACAAATCCCTTAGCTCGTCTTCCTCCTCTAGACCGGTCAGAAAAAACGTCGGCTGGAAAAACATCATTGTTAATCACGACATTAAATAAGGGCTCAAAACGATTGCCCAACATTGCCCAGGAACGTCCTTAAATGACCCCGGCCTGCCCTTCAAATTGCGACCCAGGCCAACAGTCCCATCTACATCAAAATCATTCTTCAGGGCTTTCACACCTTCAGCAGGTCCACTAGAATTACAGGTCAAGACCAAAGGCTAGGCTGGCCCACGCAGGGAATGAGCACTTACTGCCAAAGACTTAGTCATCGGCCGATCCTTAGGCCTATCTCCACGAGCTTGCATCCTCGCCTTCGGAGCCCAAACATTTGAAACAAAATAGGAACCAGCTGTATTCCACCTAAAACGGCCACTCCCTGTGCGCCATCCACGTGTATAGCCAGCAAGACTCCTTTTTCCATGCGCTTGCATCACGTGAAAACCACCTCTCTGTCTTCCGCGATCCCACATCTGCAAGAACACCGAATGGCCAATCTTGTTGGAAGATCCACCCCTCTGAGTTTCCCAGAAGCCCATTTGCCGGCGATGATTAGACACACCCGCCAAACTTTCATTCCTTTTCTGAGTGAAAATCCGTCGAAAGCAATTAGAGTTGCGAATCCAGAGGGCGTCCCTCAACTCCTTCCATCATTGAAACTCTGTCAATCCCTTCTTTCCCATAGCATCCCACCTCAACCATTTGGCCTCCTTGAGCAAGTGCGAACCATCCCCTCCTTCAAGGCTATTCGTTGTCGGCACAAATTCCAGTGGCTTCTTATCCCACACAGCAACCTTATAACAAAACCGATCGTTGTGGACGAAGACAAAAGAGGGACAAATCCTTCCTTCCGAAACTGTGATACGAACCCGTTCAACATCCACGGCTTCGTCCGCATCCACCCAAATAAAACCACCACATAAATCCCCAACCGTCACGAACAAGGCATGATTCCAGAGATGAAGAAGTAGCCCATAAAGTGTCATAATCTTCAGCCCCTTGCCTTTTAACACCTCAGAACACCCAACTCTGAAACTCCAATTGTCTACCCGTAAGATAGCCGTCCCCCAATCACGGTGCCCCTCTTTGAGTACCCTTGAAGCTTCCGCTGAGGATGGAAAGCGAAACAACGGCAAGGAATCCGGCAGAGGAGACACCACAACTCCAGATGAGACTGTCCAAACACGATTCGCCCAAGCCGCGATTTGAGCTCTATCTCCCACTTCCTTATCAAACTTGCCCACCAAACACGAACGAAGATCTTCTCGTCTCCTTCCAACCGAATCATCATCCAAGAAAATCGAAGGCCCTCTATACGTGTTAGCAGATCTCGCAGTCCCGCCTTGAAACAGAGAGGCAACCTAGCAACTTCCAAGAACGAGCGCATAACAAAAGATGGCGAACACAAAAAGCACAAAACCTCACACCCAACTGAGAAAGAGAAAATGCGAAAACGAAAAATGACAGAGGATTTTACCGGAGTTAATGACTCCAGTGACTGGTCGGAGTAGTAGACTCTGGCCGCATCTCAGTCACAGCAAACTTAGGAATCTAATATTGAAACATACAACCCATTGTTTAAAATAATTTTATTCGATTTTGTAAAGTATTTTTCAAAAATCATACGAACAGATATAATTCGTATATCATGAATTTACTAACTAGGTTCATTACAACTTTGACTTGCAAGAGACGACTAAAGCTGACATACGCGACATAATTCCAATGAATTGGCTTCATAAATTAGAGCAAGTAAACTAAAATAAGAACATCACATTCCAACAAGTTAGTTGCTGTAACTGCGAGTCTATAGTTCTCACTCAGGCAATTGGAGAAAGCGATTGCGTGGATATATTGATCCTATAGTTTAGAACACGACGAGTTCAAGAAAAAAGAATTCAAATGTGTGGGCAAGCACATGATCAGCTTTCAGGCTTTGAATCTTAATTCTCAAGTCCTAAGCCCAGGTTTCGAGACCGGTAAAGAAGAGAAAGTAAAGTAGGGTTCATTTCTTAGTGGTTCCAAAGATGATAAGCAGAAAACAGACCCCAAAAAAATTCAAACAGATTAGACAGACCACATATGGTCATATTTTTTTTAAAAAGTAAACATAAAGAGTTCAGTTTTCCAAACTCTATAATATGTCAACTTTGCATTTTATTTAGGTACACTCAAACCAGAAGGCACTAAAGAGTCTCCTCCTTCAAAGGCTGTGTCTCAAGCTACCATAACAGAACAATTTAGAATGAAGGGGCTGTGCCGATTTCGGCCACTGTCAAGAGGCATCCACTGCAATTCCTCCTCTGCATCAGGATTTGGGCAGCAAGTGTATATAGCCATGCAATTACTAACAGAATAACATGAGGAACCAATCACAAGCAGCTCATTCCCCAGAGACTTGAATGCAACACCCCAACCTCTATTAGAATCAGCTCTCACCGGGACTGACCCCAAGTGCTTCCATGTGTTGCTCTTCTTCAAGTACACTTTCAGTTGGTTGGAGGAAGCCTCAAGTGAGTAGAGCTCATTATTCACAACAGCAACAAGAGGCGGAGAATGGCAATTCAAAACCGGATCATCTTTCAACATGTCCGGGATCAGAACCCAATTGTTCCTAGCCTCATTGAAGAATTCCCCACAAGTGAGAGCTCCATTCTCGTTTCGTCCCCCAATCACGTAGAATCTGTTGTCAATGTAACACCCCGAACACAGCTTCCTCCTACGTTTCATCCTCGGAAGGGGCTCCCATGACTTACTGTCTGGATTGTATTTTTCAGCAGTGTTATAGACTTCACTATTTGCCTCTATCCCAATGCCACCGGCTACAAAAGCATAAGGACCGGACGAGGCAGATGCAAACAAACACCTTGGATTGATCATAGAAGGGCCTTTGTACCATTTGTTCATTCCCAATTCATATCTCCATAGAACAAGCCCATCAATCTCTCTACCCGAAACAAGCAAATGAGACCCTGCACAAACTGATTCTTTATCCCCGGATGTGAAGCAAAAATCAGTAGGTAAAACCGGGAGCTTCCTACGAGACTTGAATTCCCTGTCAAATGCCCACCAAACAGTCTCCCCAGTGGCTAAAATGAAAACAGATGACTCTTTAACCCCAATGTCTCTCCTAATCTTAAATAGCTCACCACTCCTTAATAGATCTAAATACCTCTTGTTCACAAAGCATAACTTCCAATATTCTGACCTCGGAACCCTGGCCAAGATCAGAGCCTCTAACTCATAACTCAGCGAGGGAACTGCTTGAGAGTAATCTGCATCCTGAGGTTCTACTTCCACACCCGATGAAACGTGGTGCCTACTGTCATAACCAGAACAAAGTGTGAGCCAGTTTCGATCCAATCCGATTTTCATTTCACAAATCCTAATCTTTTGAGGTGGAGGACAACCAAAATTGCCCCAATAGCCATTACTAGGATTCCCATCGAACCGAGCTTTCTTACTCAGACAATAACCATACTTGCCCAATCCCCCTTCCCTTTCTTCCCCTGTATCTCTTTCCTTTCCTTTGAACATTGAACAATGCATTCAAATCTTCTGTATCTTCAACAAATTGAAAAAACCACGAATATAGTTACGACAGAGTAATCAACATGTAAGAATTAAAAGAAATAAACAGTTTTTCTGTTACATTGACAAAAAAACAAAGAGCTAATTTAACAAACCAGCATAACCTAATCACTAAATCTGCAATCCAAATGGAATAATCAGATGACAAATTGAGACCAAAACACTTATCAAAAATAAAGATTAAAGTCCAAAACATGCAAAATACAGCAAATTTTTGAATAACCAGATGAGACTTTGACACAAAAAAGGAACCATTTTTTTATATCATACCAGAACATGATTCAAAATCAGCTCTAATACACAAAAAGCCGAGAAAAATTTAAATACCCACATGAGAAATTGACTCCCAGAAGAAAATTGTTTATGCCACAACTTGATCAGGCTTCAAAAAAATAAATATATAAAAATCAAATCAAATCAAATCAAATAAATAAACCGTCCATGAACATGTAAATTTAGTCCCAAAAAAATCCCTTGTCAAGGGATGATCAAAATTGGATTTTCAAACAAACCTTAGATTAAAGCCCAAATACTATATATATATATATATTATGGCATAGCTTGATCAAGAGTCAAGAGATGAGTTACCATGCCATAAAACATATAGAATAGGACAAAGAGCTTACCCATATTTCATGAAGATACCAAAGTTTATATAGAAACATAAACACAGAGAGAGAGAGAGAAAGAGAAAGAAAAGCGTACCCCAGAAGTCAAGAAGGACGGCTATGGTGGAAATTGAAATAAAAATGAGTCGTCACAAGTCTCTAGAGCATTAAATGGTTAGGGCTTTAACGACTGAGTGTAGTAACTAGAAACCCTATAAGTTTTCACACATGAGAAGAGAGAGAAGGGGAGAGAGAGAGAAATCTATATATATATAAGGAATATATATATATAGAGAGAGAGAGAGAGAAAGGGTGGTGCGGCCATTAAGGCACAGAGAGGTGAGAATTATTGTATTGAAATTGTTCTTCGCAAATCAGACCTCCCCATTTGCTGGGGTTTATGCATAAATTAGTGGGCGAGTAGTGATTAAAATACTTTGAAATCATTAGACACAACAATGCCAATAACAACAACATCGTCGTCGACTTCGGGAAAGGCAAGTTTTATAGAGAGAAAGGGAGAGGAGAGAGGAGAGAGAGAGAGAGAGAGAGAGAGAGACTGGTTTTGTTGCTGCTGTGTTTCCTTCTGCATATTATTTTGCCATCTATACATATAATTTTTTAAATTGCATGTGACTGTGAGATGTCACAGGAAGTGGTTTCTATTTTTAATTTCAATAAATTAATGGTATGGAATGTAAATTCCACGCTCTACTGCAAGCACGTGCTATCACTCGCATCCACTACTTCTTCTTCTTCTACTACTTTTTTTCTTTTTCTTTTTTTTTTTTCGTTTTTTTTCTTTTTCCTTTTTTTTTTTTTTTTCGTGATCCTTCCTTTGTTAAAGATAAGATGGAAATTTTCACTTTCTCGGTGTCCAAACAAACTAATAACCCATTACATTCATAGCAAGGTAGCGTAATTCCATCTCCCTTGTACTCTTGTGTAACATCCAACCAAGCTTTTGTTAATATTCTATTCACATTCTTCCTTGTGATATGTTTTTTCTTTTTCGTTTAATCTGTGGATTTTATTCCTCAATTAACTTCAAATTTTGGTCACAATTTCAACTTTCATATTTTGTGTTTTTGAATTAGTCTGACCAGAGTTACGGGGATGATAGTATAAAAAGAGGTAATTATCTTTATTGATATTAATGTGGAAATGTCTGACACAACTCAAACATTTTTTCTAAATTAAAATATATATTTTTAAAGTTATTTCAAATTAATTAATATTTTAATTTATTAAATAATATTTAATCTAATGGTATAATATCTCCATCATCAAAGAGGAGATAAGAAGTTGGGGTCTAAGTTTAGGCAAAATGTATGTGTGAACTAAGTCACATAAACGAGAGCGAAACAAGAACAGAAGTGCGAAAACACTAAAATTTAAATTACACATAATAAGAATGAGAGTTAGAGTACAAGCGAGGCGAGAATGACATATATTGAAAAGAATTGTGTAACTAAACGTGTGCGCGTATGTTTCTTGCTATAAAAAAGAAAAAAAAAAAACTTTAACATGAATACTTTGATATTAGAAGGAGAATATATATTTTCTGCAGCATCTGTCATTCATAGAATCTTTAAGCCGATGACTAGTAGAAGTGTCAGCCACGCGCTTTCAAATTTGGAATTATCCAAATTTTAAAAATGCCAAAAGTAAGTTACCTATCTTATTTTTCAATTAAGCTTTTCTTTTTAAAGTAAATGTGACTAGTCAGCAAAATCCCAAAACTACAAAAACATTAATATAAAAATTAATTATATTATATTTGGAAGTGACTTGTATTTAGAATTTTTTAAAAATTAATTTAAATTTTATATTAAATTTCTTTTAGTTTTAAATTTAAAGCTTCTGATCCTCCCAAACATAGCATTAAGGTAAATTGTAGATCACTAATATTATAGTCTAATTGACTCTTACAAACATGTTGATTTTATACCATCTTATACTTAAATATTAAATTTTTTTTACAAATTATATGTAAAATTGTAATTTATTTACTTTTTATAGGGACACATGCAAATATACACACTTATATATAATATATCAGTATGAAAAATATTAAACATAATAAAATATTATTTCACAAAAATAACTCAAATTATGTGACTAATGATAAAGTATTGTGTTGTCTGTGAGTGGTTAGGTTGCTCCTTCTCAAAACTTTTTTTTTATAAATTTTTTTTTTTTGCTTGTATTTGGTAAAAAGTTTCTACGTTTTATTGTAAAAGTAATTTTCTTGAAATAATATAAGATATGGTATCCATCAGGATCCCCTCCTGCGGTGGAAATAACACGACTTTGAGATTTGTAATGAATAATGCTATCGTGAGAATTTTTTTTTTATGGTAAACTCTCTTTGTTTAACTAATGAATGAAAAAATATATTAAATAACAAGTTTGACTTTACATATCTTAAAAAATAATAATAATAAAAAGTCACAATCCAACTGTTAAATTAGAAAAGCTCACGCCTCTTATCACTCATAGGTAATTATTGTTGAATATGAAAGCTAATATCATTATAGAATCTAAATCCCAACATAATTCAAATCAATTTGCTTGGTTTGAAACCACATTTCTCTCAAAATAAATAAATAAATAAATAAATTATTTCTTCTTAGTTTTCTCTTAATCTTCATCCTTATAGAATTCAAATTCATACATAGTTTAATAACATGAATTCAATTTATGCTAGAACCATCGTTTTAAACGTGAAGTTATAAAAATTTTTCCATAATTTCTTTGACTTAAGCTCTCAAGGTGGCCTCTTTCCCGTGAAAAAGAACCCTAACTTTTTCAACCATCCATATGTGTGTATATGTATATATATATATATATATATACAATATAATAAAAGTAGAGAGAAACCAATTTGATTTGTGGTTCTCACCTCTATCTTCATTGAAAAATTCTGTGTACTTAGTTTGCTAGAATAGGAGAACTTATTGGAAACACAAATATCTGTGTATTATATATAATTACACATATTTAAATAAGAAAGCTTAATCTTATAATCACATATTCCTACGTATTTGAGAGAGAGTGTAATATATATCAAAGTAATATGTAGCACGACATAAGATTTAAGATACATTTCTGGAATTAAATTTTTAGATTTGTAGCACTATGATCTTTAACAGCAAAACTCTTTATTAAATCAGTTTAATATATATATATATATATATATATTTGTCGTTCTTGAATATTCTATATGGAAATGAATCTGTTTGTGTAGAGTGAAAAAAAAAAAAAAAAGGTTAATTGAGGAACTCCACTAGTAAATTAAAATGTATTTAATGGGAGGCTTCATGGTAGTGTTAGACAATTTATAGGTCAATATAACCTAAAAGCTTTCAAAACAACGTATACAATAATATATTAAAAACTCATTATGTAGTATTCACTCGAAGGTGCTAAGAGGGGATCATGGATGAATTAGGTGCAAACTTGACCAAACTTGACCACACTTTGTTGAAAGTGATTGTTTCTGTATTTAAATTCCACAGTCTATATTTGAGTTTTTTAATAATGTATATTGAGAAATAATAGTCTCTACAAATAAAAAGAGTTAACTCTGTACAAGACGTTTGAGAATTTTAATCAATGATTTTTAAGTCACAGAACAATCGAGTAGCTCAATATAAAATGTTTGAGAACTTTAACTCTTGATGCTCAAGTCATCGAGCAATCTAGCTCCTGTATATTCTCACATATATTTGATTTTTTTTATTTATTTGATAATTAATATACATTTGAACATTTGATCTTAAAGGGAGTTATGATCTCCGAAATCCATGTGAAAAATGGAAAACACATCAAGTGTGAGCAGTTGATCTAAATCAATCAATAAGTGAACAAGATGGACAGGTTGTGATGACCAAGAATAAACATTTCTAGAAAGTGTGTATATATATATATATATATATATCAACTTATAGGGCTATCACATCTCTCCTATTCAGAACATCCTAAAATTAATAATTAACATATCCCCTCAAATTAATTTAATATTGACCAATTGATAAGATAATGCCACGCCGTAACCCTAGAAAATGGAAAGTCCATTGGATATGCCATTCTCTTTTAGTGTTCCTTTGCCCTCTAATATATCTTTCTTTATTCAAAGGCTATGTGCTGTCTCTCCACTGATTAGTGTGGTTGATTTGCCTTTCCTTTATTGTAATTTATTAAGTTTCATTGTCAATATGGGTAGGTTTAGCATTTCCATCAATCAGATGGAGTATTTTAATATAATTGGAAACATTAATCTATAGAAAAAGGTTACCAAGCATGGATTTTAAAGCCCACAGATTTGGGAAGTTGATACTGATATTATAGACCTTAGGCTCGATATACAATCAACAACACATTAAATATTGATCGTTTTATATGGTTTTAAAAGGTACAATCCTTATTGGAGCTGCAGCGGGTTCATTAAACTAATCATAAAAGGTCTCATTTACCTAAACACTTGTCACTTTTCTATGCATGGTTCCCATCTGTCAAGAAAGTCTCAAAAACCAGGGAACTGACCATGCGTTGGATGCTTTATATATATATATATATATGATAAAGTTAGATAAAATCTCTGTTATATACATAATTGTAGAGTAGTTTCTTTTGCACATTTTTTTTTATGGGGTAAATTACCCAATCGCCCCTAAGATTTTTTCTTATTAACCTCTAATTAAACTTTTAAAAATGTGACAATCAACTTCCCTAAAGTTTGTTTAACTTAACTCTTTCCTCCCTTTTCATGTCCAAACTACCATCATATACAACACATTTACAACATTAACCTTATCAATGAAATGAAATCACCCATTGTGCCATTATTAGATGGACCAATCTAGCCTTTGAATTGCCCATCTAACCACCACCATCCCCTTTCGTCTCATAAACAATCCAAGTCCCTACAGCTTCGTACCCACCTTCTTCGTTGCTTCTCTTCATCATAAGTGATGAATATAATCGAGGTCCTAAGAGAGATTGCTCACAATCTGCATCCAAGACATCCATTTCGAGAAAGTGAAAATGAGGGTTTTAGGGTTTCACAAACAATCCTAAAGGTTAGCTCGATGAAAGCAGAGATTCAGAAAACCCAAGTTTCACTGCCATCGCTGTTGAAAATAAACTTGATTTTAGTATTTAGTATTTTCAAGTATTTTCGTCTCCATGATGCATGTGTGCATTTAGCATGTTAGTGGGTAATAAATTATTTTAGTGGGAGTTAATGTAATGTTGAAGGTTATGTAAAATAAAGAGTCATGAGAGTTGAGCCTAGTAAATATTATGTTAGTGGGAGTTATGCCTATTAAAGATTATGTTAGTGAGAGAAATGAGAGTTATGGACATTTATATGCAATTGATAGATATATGTTCTTAAGGGCTATATAATCATGTACTCTAGCAATTTTGTATGAGAATACGATGAAATAATAGAAATGGAATAAAATAAATTTTCAAGTATTCCTCCATATCCTCTTTTCTTCCTAATGAGGTTAATCCTAAAAGGTTCAACGTTTTGAGAAGAACATGTTTCTCCTTGATGATAATGAAAAGGAGAAAATGTATTTTCTTTGTGAGAAGATGATGTTCTCTAATTACAAGAGAATGAGAATCATCATAATTTCATACCTCAACGCATGTGATTTGTGGGATGTTGTTGGAGAAGAGCTAAGAATGACATGTCCAACAAGATTTGTGTGAAAAAAAAAAAAGAGAAGGCAGTGGTAGTGTTGCAAAAGATAATATATACATCAAGAAATTTAAGAGTATTTTGGAGAGCCTAAAACTCCAAGTTGTGTTTGGAAGATGCTCGAGCCCATCGTTTCCAATCATAGAGATGAGTCACTACCCATGGAGTATTGAGTATAATGCTTTGAGGATGATGAATTTACGAAGGTTGGTTATGAAAGTGTAAAGAATAAATTTGTGGAGAATGAAGAGGTGTACAACACAAATGAAGTTGAACATTTTGAAGATTCAAAAAGTTGAAGGAGAACTTAAAATGGTGAATGAGGAAGAGGTAAGGAAATGTGTTGAATAAGAGATTGAAAAAGTGGAGAAGAATGAAGTGGAAGGAGAAATTAAAGAAGAAGAAAGTATTAAAAAAGAGACAAAAGTTGATGAACTTGGTGCATTAACATCTTCGGGTATGGTTACAAATTCCACCTTGAAATAAGTTAGATTTGACTTATTTGATAAAATTATGATTTCTTCTTATTCATCTCGATCAATTGGAAAATGAAATCAAATATTTATGATAATTGTGTTGTTGTGGAGAATGATTAACTTCTCTTGAAGAAAGTTGCTCCAAAAAAGTATGAGATTGAAGCTCAAGATGATAAGAAATTCTCAAATTATTTTTTAAAAAAATAGTTTGGAGAATTTTCTAATTGACACAGGATGGGTGAATATGGAGTTATTATTCTGACTCTAAAGAATAAGCATGTGTGAAGTTGAAGAGATATAAAAAAATTTAAGAAGAAAAAAGAAAAATCGATGGTGTGTTTGTATAAAGAGGATGATATATGATTATGTGAAGACAACAAACAAGTATTTGAAGATTTTTCACAAGCCATATACATCGGAAATGACCAAGAAAATTGTTGCAGTTGAAGGAGGTGGAACTCAAGACAAAGTAACAAACTTTTGATCGAGCCCCCAAGATCAATAAGAAGTTTAATTTCAAGTTACAAAATCAAGATTAAAGGAGGGTATTGAAAATAAACTTGATTTTAATATTTAGTATTTTCAAGTATTTTTGTATCCATGATGCATGTGTGAATTTAACATGTTAGTGGGTAGTAAATTGTCTTAGTGGGAGTTAGTGTGATGTTAAAGGTTCTGTAAAATGAGAGATGAGCCTAGTAAATACTATGTTAGTGAGAGTTATGTCTATTAAAGATTATGTTAGTGGGAGAAATGAGAGTTATGGGCATTTATATGCAATTGATAAATATGTGTTTTAAAAGGTATACAATCATGTACTCTAACAATTTTATATGAGAATAAGATGAAATAGTAGAAGTGGAATAAAATAAATTTTCAAGTATTCCTCCATATCCTTTTCTCTTCCTTAATATTGAGTGTTGTGTGTCTAACCTACATATTTCCAACAAAGTGGTATCAGAACAAAAGCCAACAAAGGCATCATCGCCGGTAAGTTCATCTCCATCGTTTCACGGTCGTTCCTCGTTTCTCACTGTGCACGCTGCTAAGCTCACCGTCGTTAACACCTCCATCACAACCGCGTCCTTGCTCGATTCATCTTTGCACGCCGGTGTCATTCCTCCATTGTCGCCAGTGGGTCCACCACTTTACGATCATTTCAACCCATCGCCGTCGTGTAACGTTGTCGTTCCATCGCCGAGGTTACCATCTTTCAAGCTCACATCATCGTTGGTGTGTTCTTCCTTCTTCCTCGCCGTTCGAAGCTCTATGCCTACCGTGCCCGCCACCGCCGTGTCACGCTGTTGGGGCTTTTGCCTTCGACTAACTTTGGGTTGTTTCTCTCTCTCCTTCACCGCCAACTTCATCCCCCACCAATCCCCTCTGTCTCGGTTCTCTATCAAAAAGAAAAATTAGGTGAGGGGTGTTTGGCAACCAATGATAGTGTAGAGGAAGAATCAAATTATTAAAAGGGTAATGTTGTAAATTTGGTTTATTATGCTGTCAACCAATGGTAGTGTAGGGGAAGAATCAAATTGTTAAAGGGGTAATGTTGTAAATTTGGTTTATTATGCTTACATCAGAAATAAAAAAATAAAATAAATATAATAACACTGTGGTTAATATTGTAAAATTTCAAAGGATATTTGGTAGTTGGGGGGCGTTAGAAAGATTTTTTCAAAACTTTTATTTGAGTGTAATAAGTCCAAACCTTAGGATGTTGAAGAAATTTACCCTTTATTTATTTATTATTATTTTTTATTTTTGTGTGTGTCCCCTTACCTTATATAATGTATGTGAGAATAGACTGCAACTTGTTCATCTAAGAGGCCTTTAAACATGCTCAATGACACGCTGAAATGTGACTGCAACATTTTGTTTTGTATATGATATATAGTGGAGTGTAGCCTTCCTAGAAATTGACCCAGTCATCAAGGAATCAACTAACATTTTCAGGCGTCAAGAGTACGTACCATGTTTATGTGAGCGAGATCAATGTACGGAATCAATATAAATATATCTATATATATATATATATCACATCATATAATCAGGATTAATGTGAATGAGAGATATACCCATCCCAATCAATGTCAACAACTTATCATATTATCTATATTGGGAATCAGTAGATTCGATGACTCTAGTGTAATAGACTAGTACTGAATTTATGCAAGTCTATCAAGATGAGTGAGATACACGGAATCATCTCGTCTAGCCTAGTCAGAATCTTCGAACTTTGCTGGGAGTGGGAGATAGTTATGATTAAAACTCTGATTGGGTTGGTAATATTACTTTCCCAATGTGTATATGTGTGCATATAAGTTGAAAGGTGTTATATTCCTTATATAATTTATTAAAAAATGATAAACAATTGATTGATGTGGTAATGGTTGAACTAAACAAGGAATATATTTTAGTATGGATTATTGTATAAAAATTCTTGTCCGACAATGTTGCTTAGAGTCACAAAAAAAAATCAATTGTAATATTGTATCTTCACTCGTATAAGTTCGATTTACCTCACAATAACATATGTTAGCACTAACATCACATGGTATACATTTTTGTGTGTCTCGCAGACTATGATCAATGAGAAGCATTTTTTAAATTTGCACGTTTCTTTTTCGATAGTGGGATGCTAAGTTTAGTTTGTTTCGATGCGATTGTACTTAACATAACGCTTGTTAATAATATGATTAAGTATTTATGCCTCTTTAATTTTTATTACAACTAGAACGGGTCAAAATATCCTTTTCAGAGTATCCATTTGCTGAAAAATGAATACATTCTAAAGAAGAAAATACTTCTAAATGATTAATTTTTGTTCTTGAGCTTTAAATGATCAAAGAAATGTCCATGGTGACAATATTCAATTTTCAAGCTAAAAGTATAAGGGTGTACAAGATGAATCCAAAATTCGGAGATGGGAGTGAAATAAATAAGTAGTGGGCAAACACCGCCAAATTAAGGTCATATATTCCAGTGTCACTCACTACTGGTGTCAACTAATAAACTTAACTAACGGTCAAAATTTATTTCAAGTTGGGCACTAGAAATTTGAACCACCTTGTCCTTTATGGATCTGTGGAGTTTAGACTGGGCCTTTATTGATCGTGGACTGTAATCAATGAGCCCAGTTTTCTCACCTCACACTTCACCAGGAAGAATCTTCACTTTTAACCGGATATTTTACATTTTCAAATGAATTATCACATGTTAAGTAATTTAAAATTTGTTCATATAACAAAAAAATAAATAAAAATAACAATAAAAATTTGCTATAGTGACCAAATCTCAGGGTGTATAACATAATTTTTATACCGAATAGTTATAGTGAATTGTCAGACATATTATTTTTAATTGATCATTTATATAAGAAAAAAAGAGAGTGAATAGGACATGTATTTTTAGTTATTTAATTTAGTGCTGATTTTACTGGAAATATAACTTTTTATTTTTATTTTTATAATATAATCCAAATCCTTTGATGGTCGCTTTCATTAAGCCAAGAGAACCTTGAAAAGAAGAAGAAGAAGAAGAAGAAGAAGAAGGTAATGGTAAAGTAGGATTCCTTGTTTGGAGGGTCTTGTCCACCAAACGCAAACTATATCCGTTTTGGTGCAAATGTGAGTTTTGTGTTTAGTCTTTGCCTAATTCGTTTTAAGTTGTGTATAAAATTAAGGATGGTAAATTATGACACCATAAGACAACACGACATGAACACGGTATGAATTAAAAGGGTTTGAGTTTGATATAAACGTATTTGATCCCAAGAGAAAACCAATATTCAATATGGTTGTCAACAAAGATCCAAGTCCATGAAACAAATTCAAAACCAAAACAATTAGGTGGATCCCCAGTCCGACCCATTTAAAAATTCAATACTACTAGTGGAAGTACTAGGTACCAAAGTAGAGTAATTGAAACAGCCGAGTCAGGTGAGTCAGCTCAAATCACCCTATCCAAAAGCCTAACTAGACAAATATACAGGGCAGAGCACCATAACCTCCAAACTCACCCAAATGGCTTCCTCATCCATCTCCAACTTTCTCTCTCTCTTCACTCCATCAAAACCACCCACTCCCCCACCCAAAGCACCACCTCCAAACATTACTCTCTCTACCCATTCTCTCTCCTCCTCCTCATCTTCTTCTCCATCTTCATCGAGAAACAGAGATGGGTTGGTCCCGCTGGTCATGTCCAACGAAGCTCATCAAAATTATTACAGTCCCGTATCATCATCTTCAGCTGATCTTATGGCCGTTGTGTGCCCATCACTCGCATACGCCAACACCCTCTTCTTTAGATCGGCCTACAACGTTCAGGTCATCGTCGACGATAACGAGCCCGAAGAGAAGCTGCTCAATCGCTTTCGGAGAGAGGTCATGAGAGCTGGTGTCATTCAAGAATGCAAGCGAAGGAGGTTCTTCGAGAACAAGCAGGAAGAGAAGAAGCGCAAGACTCGTGAGGCCGCCAAGCGCAATAAGAGAAGGTTAGGGTTTTCTCTCTCTCGCTCTCTCTACACACACAAACATATTTATACACACTCTGCTTTTACTATTTTGTGCTCTATCATTGTGTTATCTCTAATTGATTGATACATGCATTTGTAATTTTGTTGAAAAGTTTTGGCCTTTTGGGTTTTTCATTTTAGGTAAGAAACTGATATATATCGGCTGAATAATTTAATTTGGTTAATCTTTGAATTTGCATATTCTGGGACGTTAATTGGCAGTATTGTTATGTATGAAAAGAAGAGTGGGGGCAATTTTATTTACTTGGAATATCCAAATAGCCCTTTAATTTTTCTTAATTTTTTCTTTCTTTTTTGAAGTCCTTTGTAATGTTTTTGGAATGTATGAATTCATTTTTGCTGGTTTTGTTTGAACATTACTCTGTAGTTAGAAATCTTTGTAATTCATGTGCCTCGATTTTTATTTTATTATTTTATTTCCGTATTGTGATAAATTGAAGTTAAATTGTACAAGTTTGTTCTGAGTTCTAAATTTCCATGCTATTTTTGGAACACCAAATGGCGTCTTGGAATTAGAATTGGAAAAAATTGTTCAAAGTTCCAACTTGTTTTCTCCAATTCCAATTCCAAGACTGATTTGGTGCTCCCAAATGCAAGGTTAGGTTGTTTGTAATTGCAAGCTCTAGAATATACTTTCTGAGTTGCAAATAATGCATATATATGGCTTCCTTTAGGTAATTCTGTAGCCTCTTAAGAAGGAAATTTGTTTTCTGTTAATCAGAATGCTAACCTCCGGTAACAGTTTCAATAAATTTTATTTGTTATAATTCCCTCAGAAAAATGATTATTTACTAATCACTGCATTTTGTATAACCAGACGTACGCCATTTAGACCTCAAATACAGGATAAGCAGGAAGGCTCTAAGAAGAGGGAGGAAGTTGATGATGACAACTGGGAACTTCCTGAAGGAAACCTTCCCTCTTGACTGCGGCATTTCATGCTCCCTTTTTACCTTTTGGACTCTGCTCTTTTGTTGTGAGGACGCTTTCAGTCCATGTAAGTTACCAGGGGAATGATGTTATTTGATTTACCCAGTACATTCTCACTTTTATTCTTTCCGCAACATAATATCAATGAATAGTTATGATTATTCATCCTTGTTTCAAGCATTAATACTTTGATCCATACGTGGTTTTGATCTATCAACTACATGCGAAAGATGTGAGATAAGTTTGGAAGTTTTGAATTGGGATCAAGTTTTTCTATTCTAAATGTCAAGTTAGGAAAAGGATTCTTTGATCATAAAATGGGATAGGTAGAGTGTCATGTTTATCACGATTTAGTCCAGGAGGCTGAACAAACAATGTTAGAAGAATGAAGAATATTGAAGGAGGTGCAAACGAAGTGACTAGGAAAGGATACGAATGAAGGAAGCTATAAAAGCAGGTCCCTTGGATATATATGATTATTGATTTATGAGAAGTTAGATTTAAATCGGATGACAATTACCCAGTTTTGTATCATGGAAGTATACATAAATAAATTGGAAATAATGAGGCATTAAATTGTTGAAGTTTGATAGGTATAGTTGGATAGTTTGATTTATGCTGAAATCTACTCTCAACAGCCGATTCTCTTGAAAGGCTTGCAAGTTAACTGTTTTATAGATAATCTTTATAATAGATGTAGTTTGAGAATTCTTATACCAGAATATAGATTTTGTTGTTGTTGCTAAGTAATGGTAATTGCTCTGTGTGTTGTCAGAACATAGATATTAGAATTAAAGTATTCCTTGGGATCAACTTTTGTTGCATTATTTTCTAATCATGTTTTTCACCTCAATCAACTTGTGATGAGCTTTGAGCTAAGAGATAATGATAAATAAAAAGAAGGACGATGATAAGCGAGCTTGTTGTGTTGGGCGTTAGATTTACATCGTGAATCTGATTGGCTGAGGTCTCAGTTAGAGGGCATGTAGCAGCAGTCAGTTTCAAAGTTGCAATAGACTGGAGAATGTTACAATTGGCATCAGGGTTGAAAAACTAGGGTGGATTTGAGGGCTCTGAAAAACAAGAAGTAGAGTGCAAGAAAATGGAAATTGGAAAATGAAAATTTCACCAGAAAGACATTTCCCTTATATATATATATATATATATATATTTTTTTTTGATGAGTAAAAGACATTTCCGTTATATGGGACAATGCCTAGTATAGTTCTGCCTTTAGTTTGCAGGTACTTTGTTGGTAACAGTTTCCAGCTTCGAAATGATAAGAGCTGGTTTCTTTGAGCTAGGATGACACTCTCTAGGAACCACATTTGCGTGGTTTAGACAACACTTACCAATATTCACTGTAAGGCAAAACCTTTTACCGGGAAAATGGTTTTGCTTGGCTCGGAATCAAGTTCTTGTGCCGACTTGCATTTGCTTGGAGCTCTCCAAGACTCCATGAAGAAGCATCAAAATGGGATCTCTTGGGCAAAATTTTCTGTCGAGGGTAATGTGAAGTTTGTCCAGACCACAAGAATGGGCCTCCAGGTATGAATCTATGCCATTGGTATTATCACAGCGATTTGCATGCGTGGTATGCACCTTGCTCGTATCCTTTATTGGCTGACAAAAGCCACTGAAATGGTCTGCGTCGGCTATCTAGAGCCCATTGGTGATTTGCTCATTCTCGGTTCGAGTTAATATGACTGCTGTCTGGCGTCACCTATGAAATGAATCTGTATCCGAGAACTCTCATTTTGTTTATAAAGCTGTGGAAGATTGCTCTTGTTTTGTCAGATGTTATTAGTCTCTTTGAATCTCCATATGGTTGAAATCATATACCATACATATTACACACAAAAAGTAAAATTGGAAATATCAGATCAGAGAGAAACCTGCATTGATTTGGTATGAAGCGAACCAGATGAAATATTGCTTACAGATTTAAATTTGTGAACCCCTTAATTTGCCATTTACTTCATCCGAGTTGAATGAATGGTGTAAGAGCAATTACTGAAAAAGATTAATATATATACGCGCAAAATATATATGATTCTTGATATGAGTTATATACAAAAATACAAATAATTTCTCTCATTCTTGGCAAAATCCATTTTGGGTCTGTTCAAAAGCAACTGCCGTGGAATGTGGCAACCACCACCTCCAGCTGCCACTGCCTCGAATTAAATTTGCGAGGACCAAATCACATATACATTAAACACACAAATACACTATATATATATGGCTATTGATATGAGTTATATTATACAAAATACAAATAAATTCTCTCTCCTACTTGATAAAACCCTTTGGGTCTGTTCAAAAGCGCCTGCCGTGGGAGGTGGCAACCACCACCTCGTGCTGCCACCGCCTCGAATTAAATTTGCAAGGACCAAATGAAAACTTCACAATTAACGGGCTCTCTCAATACTCAACAGTGGAGGTTGGGGTTCCTGGTGGTGGTGGGCTTAAACAATTGATTGGCTTTCTCTAAATATTTACACACTTGACTATCATGGCAGCATACACGAAATTTGGGAACAATAGCTTAAGTTATCTAAGGTATAACATAGTCGATATATATATATACACACACACACACACACACACACACACACACACACATGTATAGCTGTTAGATACACATGTAGTATATAAATTTGCATGAGGATGATTGATTAGGACAGCGTTTGAAGTTCGATTTGATGAGAAATGTGCATCATTTTAGAGAGAGAAATCTAAGCATACAAAAGGAAGGTGGTGATACGGAGAAGGGATGAGAGAATTTTTGAGTTAGTTGCTCAGAATTTAGGAACCCAAAAAGTAGTCTTGGGTAATCTTGTAATTTTATCTAGCTTTATAAGGGCATTTTGGTCCATATTTATTTATTTTTTGTCATTGCAATACCTAAGGCTACTATTGTCTTTTTCATACAATAGAAGGGTAACATGGTCATTTAATAAAAAGTTTCAACGTACGGAAAATGATTAGGTTGTTGAACATTAGCGTCAAATCTTAAGAAGGTTGAAGTTATATGTCCCGCTCTAGTCGTGTAATTTGACAAAATTATGTAACATTTGCATTATCATCATACTCAAAAAGTACTCTGGTAATTTATTACACAAAAATTAAAATGAGTTTATCTATTTTTATTATTTCATATGATAGCGTAAATTACTAAAAGTCTTATAATCCAATGATACTTATTGGTCTTTCAAAATAAAAGATCGAAAGTTCAAGTTCCTACAAGAACAAAAATAAACAATAGCATGAATTGAAGGTGACTTGTTAAAATAGGGATTCACCAATTTTTGTAGTTTTGAACTGTTTTAACTTTATCTATGCATTTTAATTCAAGATTGATTGAATATAATTGAAACCATTTATATGATATATATATTTTTATTATTATTTAGTTTATAGAGTTTCTTTTCAATCAATAGAATTCACCTAATATGAGAAATTTAGATGAACTCATTATAATTTTGCAGGAGGTTTATCATGAAAAAATTATTATACCTACCACAGATGTCGACTCTTCATTCCCTCAAATTTCTAAAAGCAATTATAAAGCATAAGGCCTGCATTTTCTCCGGCGCCACCTCGTATGACTAGTATTAATTAGATAGTTTATGTAATAACTACATTATATATATTATATTATATTATGATATAAATCTACCCGTGACACATCAAGATAGAGGATTCGAATCACAGTAGGGATCCATTCAACGATAAAAAGAGGACGCACATCAACTGATCATTATTCGGATTATGCATTCAACCAAGAAAAAAAAAAATTCGGATTATGCTTACAAAAACATGGAGCAAAGGACGGTCTATAATTAATTCAGTCACACAGAACTAGGATCAAAGCCCAGATGGGTCGCCACGTATCCTGATAAAACTTCACGCGTTTCATACATAAGGAGTGGCTATCCACTTAGATTTGAAAATGAAATGTGGGGCCCAATTAGTGGGATAGATGTGGATCTCGGATTTGAATCAATGCACCAATCAATAAATACCACACTACAAATCTAGAATATATAAATAAATTATTCATAAACAAACGTGTATAAGATGGCTCACAAACTACCTGAAGGGCCGTTTTATGCGAGCCGTTGATTTCCTGATCTCTGAGATCTTTGCGTATCAGTCAAGACATACTCAACTGCCAGGTTGGGCCATATAGACGAAAACAATAAGACAACCAAAGCACAAAATGATTTAATAAATTTTATCTTTACAAGTAGCCATCAATCGTAGACTTAAGAATGCAAATTAATGAAGATGCAGCTAGAAGAGATTTGTTCTTTTTTCAGGTTTCATGATCCTTGAGACTTTAATATATTAACAATGTTCTTCATATGTATATATATTGTGGAATTTCAGAAATTATAAAATATCAAAAAGGAATTTATAAGTTCAAAAGAACAATAATTTCAACAAATAGTATGATTTACAGTACCATGACAATAATGGGATGGATCATGGGAATAACATCAGGGACAGAAAAGTCTCATTAATGACGGAACAAATATTTTGTGAACCATATGTATAATGTGCATGTGGTTTCAATAGTAAAACTATGTCATATTAATCATCTTAGAATCAAAAGTAATGTCACTTTTATGATAGCAAAAGTAAACAAGTGGATGTTATTATAACAAGACAAGTATGGATATATAAAGAGCATGTTTCAGCTCCATCTAGTTTTGAATTTTAAGACCAGCTAAGGCGGCTTAGCTTCTCTGTATTGCAGACTAGAACCATTAATATCCAACAAGACCACCTGAATTTCCCTCCGCTGCTGCTGAGATTCCCTCGATGGAGGAAGACTCGAGCCAATTTGCAGAAGAAACAACCCACAACATGGAAGGACAAGAAGATGAAGAGGAAAGAGACCCAGAGAGCAATACCTTACACCAGCCACTCCTCAAAAGAAGCCGAACACTTTCCTCCACTCCACTAGCCATGGTTGGAGCAAAGGTTTCTTATATTGAGAGCTTGGATTACGAGTAAGAAAATCATCATCCTGTCTTCGTTGGTTCTGAGAATTCTAATGTTTCTGTTTCTTCATGTAAGTAGGAAGTGTTTTTGATGCAGGATCAATGAGAATGATCTCTTCAGGCATGATTGGAGAAGCAGAACAAAATCCCAAGTGTTGCAGTATATATTCTTGAAATGGACACTGGCATTCCTTGTTGGGCTTCTAACTGGTATTATTGCCACCCTTATCAATCTTGCAATTGAGAATATTGCAGGCTACAAGCTTCTCGCGGTGGTTGACTACATAGAGAAAGAAAGGTTAGTGATATCCCCTGCACTACTAAACATGTTCTTCTCAAATAATTTAAGCCTTGTACTAAGATTGGAACAGAGTAGCATATGAACATCAAGTATTCAGTTCTGTGTAGATTACTAAAATTTTAATCTTCGCCTTATGTACTGAGAACTGAGAGTGCTTATGGAAATAATTTTGGTGGATGCAGGTATCTAACAGGATTTCTTTTTCTTACTGGGGTTAATTTCCTTCTGACACTGGTTGCTGCTGTTCTGTGTGTATGTTTTGCACCTACAGCGGCTGGGCCTGGTATTCCAGAAATCAAAGCCTATCTCAATGGGGTAGACACACCCAACATGTTTGGTGCTACAACTTTGATTGTCAAGGTGGGATGTCCTTCAAATAGAATGAACAGATTCCATTTCAGTGAGTTGGCATACTGTCTGTAACTCGTGACTACTACTCGAGCACTAGTTTAATTTAGATCATTCAGAAAAATGAAATTTGTTTATATTCCAAATCTAAAGCATTCACATATCGAGATGGGCATTTTTTGAATTCTCACACAGGTTTCGGTTTATGTATATTCAGATATCTCACAATTTTTTCACATTAAGTGCGAAAAGACTGCATTACGTATTTTCAAAAAAAATTCTTAATGGGTTTGAAGATCTGCACTGGCAAACTTAGAAAGTATATGGATTGAATTTATAAGGAGAATAATCACAATTCAGGAGTTTGAATGAACTTCAGCACCAATATTTTATATGAGTATCCACAAAATATATTCTCTTGAAATGGAATTCAGTGACAAAGAAACTAAACAAATGAAGTGTCTGTACTGACTTAAAACGTACCTGTCCCTCAGTTTGTGGTCTTTAACTCTTTTATGTTACAGATCATTGGAAGCATTGGAGCTGTCTCTGCAGGCCTAGATCTAGGAAAAGAAGGGCCGTTGGTGCACATCGGTGCCTGTATTGCTTCCTTACTAGGCCAAGGTGGACCTGACAACTACCGAATTAAATGGCGCTGGCTCCGCTACTTCAACAATGACCGGGATCGCCGAGATCTTATCACCTGTGGTGCTTCTTCAGGTGTATGTGCTGCTTTCCGAGCCCCAGTCGGAGGTGTCCTGTTTTCTCTTGAAGAGGTGGCAACATGGTGGAGAAGTGCCCTCCTCTGGAGAACTTTCTTCAGCACAGCAGTTGTGGTTGTGGTGCTCAGGGCTTTCATGGAATACTGCAAAACTGGAAACTGCGGACTTTTTGGAAGAGGAGGTCTAATCATGTTTGATGTGAGCGGTGTTACGGTTAGGTACCATGTCATGGACATAATCCCTGTAGCCACAATTGGGATCAGTGGTGGAGTTTTGGGAAGCCTCTACAACTACCTTCTCCACAAGGTCCTCAGAGTCTACAGTCTCATAAATGAGTAAGCAACCGATCCTAGTTTTTATATCTTTTTAAGACTTGCACATAACCCACTCTAGTGAAGTGCAACACCACCACATCCTTTTCTTTCAGTGATTTGATCGCCATGGTCTATCCCAAAGTTTCAGACCAACATCAGATTGATAATGCAATTTCACAATCTATCCACTGTCCAAAAGACCCACTCCAAACTGACCCAGTTGTTTATCTAGGTCTAACTTTCTAACCTATTCATTTGCTCTTCTGTTGCAGGAAGGGAAGAATACATAAGCTCCTCCTCAGTCTCGCTGTCTCACTGTTCACTTCAGCCTGTCTATATGGACTCCCTTTTCTTGCCAGTTGCACACCCTGTGATCCCTCACTTCCAGACTCTGCTTGCCCCACCACTGGACGGACTGGCAACTTCAAACAATTTAACTGCCCAACTGGCTACTACAATGACTTAGCTACCCTCCTTCTTACCACCAATGATGATGCTGTCAAGAACATCTTCTCCATTAACACTCCCACAGAATTCCATATTGTCTCACTCATTATATTTTTTGCACTCTATTGCATCTTGGGACTCTTCACTTTTGGCATTGCCGTCCCATCTGGGCTCTTCCTCCCTATCATTCTCATAGGCTCAGCTTATGGCCGCATGCTAGGACTTGCCATGGGACCATACACAAACATTGATCAAGGGCTCTATGCGGTCCTTGGTGCCGCCTCCCTCATGGCTGGTTCAATGAGAATGACGGTTTCACTATGTGTCATATTTCTTGAACTCACCAACAACCTTCTCTTACTACCAATGACAATGCTCGTTCTTCTTATTGCCAAAACTGTTGGAGACTGTTTCAATCCAAGTATTTATGAAATCATACTAGATATGAAAGGGCTGCCGTTCTTGGATGCACATCCTGAGATATGGATGAGAAATATTACAGTTGGTGAGCTTGCTGATGCCAAGCCTGCAGTAGTTACCCTTCACGGAATAGAAAAAGTGGCTCGCATTGTGGATGTCCTGAAAAATACTACACACAATGCTTTCCCCATTGTAGATGATCCACAAGTGGGGGTTGCAATTGGGGCAACAGAGCTGCATGGATCAATCCTAAGAGCTCACCTTGTTTTAGTGCTGAAAAAGAAGTGGTTCCTGCAAGAGAGAAGGAGAACAGAGGAGTGGGAAGTAAGAGAGAAATTCACCTGGGTCGAATTGGCTGAAAGAGAAGGGAAGATTGAGGAGGTAGCTGTGACAAAGGATGAAATGGAGATGTATGTTGATTTGCATCCACTAACAAATAAAACCCCTTACACGGTGGTGGAGAGCATGTCGGTGGCAAAGGCTATGGTGCTCTTCAGGCAAGTGGCGCTTCGTCATATGCTCATATTGCCCCAATACCAAGCAGCCGGGGTGAGTTTATACAACATCTCTCTTTCACTTACCTCCACACACAATACATCGAAGGATTTCCAGGGTTTAAATTTATAAATTCATAAATTTAATCACTAGCTGGTTATCAGATTTGTTGCTTAATCTGACAAATGATGGAACATATATTTTCTAATACAATAACCAAGATGATCATTTTGTGAAATGCAGAAATGTTGTGAATTAAATGTAACTGACCTGATGGTGTGCTTTGTTTGCAGGCACCTCCAATGGTGGGGATTTTGACCAGGCAAGACTTGAGGGCCCACAACATTTTGAGTGCTTTCCCTCATCTGGCAAAATCCAAGGGAAGAGAAAAGGGGAACTGAATATCTCTTAACCGACAGACCGGCAACTGTTGCTTTCTTGGAGCATCACATTCTTTCCGTATTTCTTTCTTTTCTTTCTTTTTTATTTTTTTTTCCTTTTTCTTTTCCTTTTCTTTTATTCTTTTTAAACAGTTTTGCATTCTTTCATCAAATTCTAAGTAAACAGGCTACCAACAAGTATGTAAAACTTCTTTCAATATGAATTTCATATTATAAATTCAACCAATAATACAAAAATTTCTTTTTCACCAGTAAGAGAGAGAAAGAGATGTCATTTTTCGTTTTCTCCGTTTTATCTCTGAACACATTTAGTTCTGCATTGTTCCTCCCTCGTGCTTTTCTTGTTCATGCAAACTATTCCTGACTCTTACCATTTGGACGTTACTGACACTTCAATGCTGCATCAATGACTAAATGCTCTTTATGAGGGTTTCTTCTTTTTTCCTGATTTCTTTTTCTTGAGGCTTACTTGTGGGCCTCTTTTAAACACGGCCAACACCTCAATACTGCAGCCACACACCATATTATATTTAAAGAAGGGATCAGTAAATAAATGGATAAATGTAATGCAATATCATAAATCAGGGTCCTAACGAATTTGCCCTAAAATGCTAAAGTCAACCATATGGGTACTTTTTCAACAAAACATTTGTGCCCAAGTCAGAAAAGGAAACACAGTTTAGGTTAACAGTAAAATGTTAAAAATCATTTTTCAGCAGTCATCTCTAGACCATTTGTTTCTACTATTCCCTCAATACTACAAGGTAATACTGAAGTTACATATCATGTGTTTTATCCAAATATAAAACCCTTAGATCATAAAAGCTGCCATCACAGTGCTAATTTAATCAAGTATGCCGCCTAACAATTTAAATGTCCTCATCTTCATTCTTATTTCTCCTCCTTCCCACCCTTTCCATTCTATTATCTCCCTGACAAGTGGAGATTGTTGATATTCACAAATATCCAAAGAACTAAATAGTATGAAAACCATCATCAAGCAAATTATCTAAGTCTAATTTATTAAATGAGAAACCACTTATTTCTATATTGCCTCAGGATGAACAATTTGACTTATCTTTGATAATTAATAATAAATGCACTCAAGTCCAAAACTTCAATTGAAGAGCATTGCACAGTTAGTCTTCATTAATGTATTTCACTGGTCAGAAAATATCCTATGAATGAGTTAAATAATCATGCACACAAACAAAAACAAATCACAACTATGGTGATGCAAAGTGTAATATGCCAAGGTAAAAAAATATTTCACACAAAGGACATCAATACCTCTGGGTTCCAGGGAAGAAATTAAAACCATGGGCCTTGTCCAAATGCCATGCCTTACTAGACAGCAATGTCATGCAATCCTGTTAGATAATTGCTACATTAGAGCTTAAAGAATAATCAACATCTTGATGTTTGAGAATCCATGTGGAAGCTGATCAAATTAAACGGGAGTTCTTAGCTCAATCATGTAAAAACTTAGAAAACCAGAAGTACCTGCTTGAAACTCTCCCATCCACAGCTTATATAAATAAGAGTTTGAGGAAGTGACTGGCTTTCCTCCTGTGCTGTTTTGCTCTGAATCTGAACTGAAGCTTCTCTTGCACGTAGTACCCATGGTCTCTTCTCATCTTTGACCTTTAAGGGACTGAAATAACATGTAAAGCATTAAGTGCATAAGCCTCAAAGTTTGTGCTACGCTTTATCAAAGCATTGCACTGTTTTAAATTTTGGATAGAGATTAAATTGAATTCGTCAATTTCAATTTGAACTGAACCACATAACTGTCCTACCTTTCAGGCAACTTTGCTTTGCTTTCCAATGATTTTATAGACCGTAATGCATTCACCAAAGATGGGTCCAGTCCCTTCCTTGGAGGATCAACCACAACAACATCTGATCCCACAAGCCATGAAAGTGGATCCTAGAAAATTGTAAACAAATCATAAAGAAGCTTCAGAAATGTTGTAAAGCTACTTTGGGTTACAAGGAACTGTCGAATGTTTGTTATGGAAACAGGAGTTTCAAAAAGTTGAAATTGATCTGCTTCACTATGTTTTTATGCAAGTTGTCTATAAATAAATAGATTGGAAAAAAATATCAATAACACAGAAATTTAATATTTAACTTAAAGCACTTATAAGCATATGAATTTATGAAATTTCTCATCATAGTTTTTTAAACCTTTTTGCAATAAAGAAAATCCAATTTTGCTGTCAATTGACTAATTGTAAGTTCATTTTTTTTTTATTGACTAACAATTGAAGTGTCAGCAAGGTGCCAGCTGATGCTGCTATCTACAGAGTTTGGTAATCGTTGGGCTGTCTTCTCGAAAGATAGTTTTGACTCCTTGTTAATCTCAATACATTTAACAGATCTGGCAACAAGAACAACTGGTTTAGAGGTAAGTTAAAAGGAAGAATGCAAGTTTGGACTCCAAAGCACATAGAATCAGCACAGCTCTCGCCTGCATTTTCTTGTGGAGGCTAATGATAATCCAATAACACCAGCTCCGGCATAGAGGTCAGCAACTGATGCACCAAATGGGACATTCTTCTGTAACTTCTGAAGCAAAGAATCAAAAGCCTGACAAAACCAATAATCAAATAATTAAGCAATTTAAAATTGGTAGAATATTGCAAAAAAGTATAATAATGTGACCTGTCAAGGATTTGATACCATAGGCCTTTTCTACCCGTCATCACAAAGAGAGAGAGAGAGAGAGAGTGAGAGAGAGAGAGAGAGAAAGAGAGAGAGAGAGAGAGAGAGAGACGCCTTTTCTACCCGTGTATTTGCTTGACCGAAACTGGATGGAGCCAAGGAAACGTCAATTCCTCCAACATGTTCCCAAAAGTCACTTTCTCCTAAAAGATGCCTCCATCTATTCCCAAAAATTATCTGGCATCATTATAAAAACATTCTCAACTCCCAAACATATAAAGCATACATATAAAGGGAAGTTTAAATAGGAAAAGGAAACGAAAAACAAAATTCACACTTGTGAAAGCCACATGAGATGCAAATGCTGATTGCTACAGAGTATATTAGCAATAAGTGATAAGTGATTAAGAAATCTAGATCTGACACCATCCTGATATGAATCAGTGGAAACATACTATGAATACAAATTGTAAACTTCGTATTCAAATGAGAAGTTACTTCTTTTTCTTTTTTTTTTTGATAAGTAAATGAGAAGTTACTGTATGATTTTGCATATCATCTGATATTTCATTTTGTTTCAGTTTTGGGTTACAAAGAGAATGAGTAGAAATGACACCACCACCAAGCCCTTGGCCTGAGTTGTATCTCCTCTACCTCCCCAGAGAAGAGGTTGCAGGTTCAAGCCCCACTTGGGAGTTGGGACAAAAAGTGTGTGTGAGTTGCTTACCTGCTAAAAAAAAAAAAAAAAGCAACGAGTACAAATGAAATTTCACTGGATCTCTATATGCTTTGCAATCAAGATTAAATCCAATGCTTTATTACAAGAAGTCATAAACAATAAGAATTATTGAAAAATCTGAGAATTCATATGAAGATGTCTAATGTTATGGTGTCTCAGAAGCATCAATAATGCGACTTCGAGGACACCAAACTGACGTGACCACAATTAAACATAACGTCCTTGACAAGAGTTCAAACACTTTGTCAATTATCACTGCCAGTTCTTAATCCTAACAAAGGGATATGAAAAGGATTATTATCTTCTTAATATTCCTTAATCACTTTCATGAATTCTCTACAAGTCAATCTGAAGTACTATCTTTTATAATTGCCCCCAAAAATTTTAAACGCCAAATCTTCCTTTCTTTTCATTTTCTTCGTTCTCTAACAGATTTAGATTCCTGTTCAGCTCAATTTTAACAATTAGGAGGGAAAATTTTCACAAATGATAACAAACACACCAACAATGATTATGACAATATGACCTTATCAGTGAAACTAGCATTCCAAGTGATTATATTGGATTACTTTCACAGGTTCATTTTGTACATTCTGGAAGGATACCAACTCAACTATACTACTTGACAAACAAATGGAACAGTTTACACACTTAAAATGTATGCATGCATCTGTATGTGCTGATGACGCACAAACTCTTTCACTCACATTGTTGGTTGATGTCTGAAAGTTAGCCCAAATAGAATGAATTAAATGGACTTTCCTGCTTGGCCCACCATTTCTCCATAAGAACTACAAACCAAAATTCGAGCATCAGCCATACTAATGCAGCAGAGTATTAAAAAATAAATCACTTTGGCCAAAACCTTTCCATGGACTTACTTGAGCCAAAGCATTTAATTTTGCTGAGCTGGGTGAGTTCTCATTTCTTGAATTCCAAACCAAAGAAACCTGCACTTTACCTTCAATGAAACATTCAATTTAGCAATGTTAAGTATAACTTGGCCAAAACAAACAATTCGAGAATCAAACATTTGCTGTGTGCGTGTCTATGGGAGTATTAGGATGAGCTAATCTAGTTACCATTTCTATATCTTTCAGAGGCAGGAAGGGATGTATTGTACGTTGTCACAGCCATCTGCAGCCACACATATTTGATTAGGCTGGTTATGACTACAAATCATAACTGTTTGGCTCAATTACTTTGATGTTCCCAATGCATTAAATTTGTCTTAACCAAACCAGTCACCTGCACATATCGCAGTTCACCTGTCCCCATATCTTCATCATATGGCTCAATGTTCAACTCAGTTATACCTAAATAGCAAAAAGAAATATTCAGGCAAAAACACATATATTTCATCTCTAAACAATTCGAGATTGAGGAAGAAGAACAAGCCTCGTTTCAAGAGTTCGACCGCCGCATTTATGCTTGGATGATGAGCTACACAGCCAATAGTTTAAAAGTTAAATTTTTATTGATATTCTTATATATTGAGTAAGATCAACTTCACCTGGTGGAATTATTCTTACACCTGGTTTAAGAATACACCCTTGAAATCTTTTTACAATTTAATTTTTTTAATCCAACCATTGTAGATTCCTTTATCGTGTTTGTCATGCATGCCAAATATCAACTTAGCAAGTGTCTATTCATGAACTTACATTTCTCTTAATAAAGTACAAGAACAAAACTCAAATTTAAATTGTGACATTACAGATCTTCAATTAAGTTGATGTTTCACGAATTACTGTGCATAACAAACATAAGGACATTCGATTCAACGGCCGGACTTCCAAGAAATGAATGCCATAAAAAAAAATTATCCACCGTTGTAAGATTAATTTATTCTTGCACCAGGTGTAAGTAAATATCACCTCTATACATAAGTGTGTTTATATATACATACAATAACATAAATACAAGTACACAAGAATAATTGATGTTCAGACCTTTACATTCAGGAATATCCACAACATTGTGAGTACCCTCTTCATAGAGTCCAATCATAGGACTAATTGACGAACCACGGACAGCGAGCTTTGCACGGCATCTCCATCCCCACTGAGAGCGAAGCATAGAATCAGAATCCCAAGTAAAGGACACACACAAGCACATGTGTGTGTACGTGTGTGTGTGTGTATATATATATTCTGAAATTAAGGGGAAATAACAATACGTACCAGTCTACAAGTATCAAAGGTGAAATCAGAGATACCTAGCTTCTTGAAGAAATTGGTAGCCTCGTCAAGGATGACCGGACGGTGGAGGTTGTACTCGTGGGTACAACCCGAACACCTGCATTAAACAATATATATAACATAAAAATATACATACAGGTATGTATGAATATCATATGAGTGAAGAGGATATGAGAAATTAAGATAAATGAGTGGAGTGGAGTGCGTACGAATTGAAGTGAGGACATTGGAGGGCACAGGTTAAGGAGGGTAAAGGTGTTGAATTAGGGTTTGGTGGCAAAGGAAGTGGTGGCGGTGGTTGTGTTTGTAGCTGTGGAGGTGGTGGAGTGCGGACTGTGAAGGGGGTGGCGCGGCATGTGACGACGGAAACTGACGGCGGAGCTGAGAGCAGCCAAAGAACCATTTTTTGCTGGTCTCAGAGGACTGAGGGCTTCGATTCGTTTCTTGTGGCGCGAATGGATAAAATCCGATTACCATGTACTCGGGTCGTCGCATTGGAGCATATTAGCATAATGGAAAAATAAAAATATCCGGGTCGGATTTGAGCCATGACTCATTTTTCTTTTATATATATATATTTTTTTTAGCCCTTTAGTCCCTCTACTCATGGTAATTAATTACTACTCGTAGTAGTTACTCTTTACAAATTTTATGTCTACCTCTTTTTCAAGAAAGACGTGATTTTGGTAAGTGTTCAATTTTTCATTCACACATCCTCATTTAGAAGTCTGTCAATGAGATAATTAATTAGGAAAAAAAATGAGACAATTAATTTCCATAAAGACTTATGGTCAATGATGCACTTGCTAAAATAAAAATAATAAATAAGAGGACTTGACTCAAAAGTATTATCAAATTAAACAACTTAAAATGTGGAAGTTGCAAAATTCAAAGCGTGTGGGTTGGTTTATCATGCATAGTCAAAAGACAAACAAGGAAAAAAATAAATTAATTTGGACTTTTGATTAACCAATCAATATTGATATATGAGGAACGCACACGGCAAGATGATAAGTAAAGATCAATTAATTTGGATAAATTAAGCTCATGCTCATATTCATAAACAGACTAAAATTTCACAGATAACAATGGCTAATGACAATGCAATCACCCATCTTCTTTTTCTTACACTAGTACTGTTGGTGTTTGTTTACCTAGAAAAAATTAAATTCATCACCTGTTCTGATGATCTTAACATGGGTTGTATTGAAGTAGAGAAAGAAGCTCTACTAAAGTTCAAGGGAGGTCTCACAGATCCTTCAGGCCGGCTTTCGTCATGGGTTGGTGAAGGCTGCTGCAGCTGGAATGGTGTTGTCTGCAACAAAGAGACAGGACATGTCGTCAAGATCAAACTACGCAATCCATTTCCAGATAGCTCTGATGGTGATGGAACAACTTACCATATTGGTGGTGAGATCAACCCTTCTTTGCTTGATTTAAAACATTTGAATTACTTAGACTTGAGCTTGAACAACTTTGGAGGAATCAAAATTCCAAAGTTCTTTGGCTCACTAGAGAAGTTGAGATATCTCAATCTCTCTGGTGCATCTTTTGGAGGAACAATTCCTCCACACATTGGAAATCTTTCGAGCTTGTATTATCTTGATCTTGAATATTGTTTCGTCGAAGAATCATATGAGAACAACCTCCAATGGCTCTACGGCCTTCATTCGTTGAAGTTCTTGAATTTAGGAGGTGTGGACCTCAGCAAGGCTGCAAACTATTGGCTTGAAGCCGTTAACATGCTTCCTTCTCTTCTGGAGTTGCACTTGCCACATTGTGGACTTTCCATCCTTCCACTGTCTCTTCCATATATTAATTTTTCTTCACTTTTGTTTCTTGATCTTGCCAACAATGGTTTCAACTCTTCAATACCTCTTTGGCTGTTCAGTTTAAGCAAACTTTCATATCTTGACCTTAGCCTCAACAATCTTGGAGGTACAATTCCAGTTGCAATATCAAACATGACCTCTCTCCGAACACTTGACTTGTCTGAGAATTCCTTCCTTGGAGGTGGGTTGTCAAGTTTGGGAAATCTGTGCAATTTGCAAACACTGAATCTTTTTGCTAACAGCTTTAGTGGTGGCATTGCTGAACTTACAGATGGTTTGTCTAGGTGCACCAATAGTAGCTTAGAGACACTGGATTTGGGAAATAATAAATTGGGTGGCTTTCTTCCAAATTCACTTGGGCATTTGAAAAACCTCAAGCACATAGTTCTATGGGAAAACTCATTTCTTGGCTCAATTCCAGATTCCATTGGGAACTTGTCGTCGTTGAAAGAATTTTACCTCACGGATAATCTAATGAATGGGACAATTCCAGAAAGTCTTGGGCGGTTATCAGAGTTGGTTGCCTTGGACATCTTTGAGAATTCGTGGGTGGGTGTTGTGACAGAAGCTCATTTGTCGAACCTCACAAGGCTAGAGGAATTGTCTGTTGGTAAGTTTTCCTTGTCTCCAGATCTTTCCCTGGTTTTCAATGTGAGAACTCAGTGGATTCCTCCTTTCAAACTGCGATACATCAAGTTGAGATCATGCCAAGTTGGCCCCAAATTTCCAGATTGGCTCAGAAATCAGAACGCGTTGGAAACTTTTATACTCAGGAATACTGGGATTTCAGACACCATGCCAGAGTGGTTATGGGAGTTAAATCTGCAGTTGAATGAACTGGACCTTGGTTATAATCAATTGAGTGGCAGAGTGCCAAACTCATTAAAGTTTAGTCTTCAATCAACTGTTTATTTGAAAAATAACCTCTTTGAAGGTCCTCTACCATTTTGGTCATGATTACCCTTGATCTTGGGGACAACAAATTTTCCGGGAAAATTCCAGTATGGATTGGAGAAAGGATGCCATTACTCTTGATTCTAAGTCTACGATCAAACTTATTCGATGGAAAAATTCCATCAGAAATTTGCAGTCTTTCCTCTCTTCACATATTGGACCTTGCACAGAATGATTTGTCAGGATTCATTCCTTACTGTTTTGGTAATTTGAATGGCAGGACATCGTACCTCGACACTCAGAGATACGAAGGAGAATTGCTGGTGGTGGCAAAAGGAAGAAATTTCCTGTATCAGGCTACTCTCTATCTTGTGAACAGCATAGACCTTTCAGGAAATAATTTATCTGGGGAAGTACCTGAAGAGCTAAGTGAGCTGTCTAGACTTGGCACATTGAACTTATCGACGAACCACTTGACAGGAATGATACCAGAGAAGATTGGGAGCTTGCAACTGTTAGAAACTCTTGACCTCTCAAGAAACCAGCTCTATGGCCTAATTCCACCAAGCATGACTTCCATGACTTCATTGAATCACTTGAACCTGTCTTACAATAATTTCTCGGGACGAATTCCATCAGGCAACCAATTTAACACATTCACTGATCCATCCATTTATGAGGGCAACTCTGCTTTCTGTGGTCTTCCACTAACAATCAAGTGTAGTGGGAAAGAAGGAACACCGGATGAAGCTGAAGAAAACAAGGGTGACAGGGAGAGAGATGATTTTGATCATTTGTTCTGGTTTTATATCAGCATGGGACCAGGATTTGTTGTGGGGTTTTGGGGAGTGTGTGGAACTTTGTTATTGAAGAAGTCTTGGAGGAATGCCTATTTTCAGTTCATTGAAGACACGAAAGATAGGCTGCTTGTTTTTGTCCCAGTGAATTTAGCTCGTCTCAAGAGAATAATGGATCCAGAAAGAAAATGTTTAGCATGATTCAAGATGATTAAGTGCTTCTTTGTGCTAGAACTAAGCTATCTATAGTTATAGTTTGTCTCTACACTCTGTATAAAGAAGGTTATGTTACTCACCTTTTTCTAATTCAGCAAAGCATTTGGTAGGCTTTGTTTGTCACAAGAAATTTCTTTAGGTTATATATTTATATGGTTGTGTCACATAAATAACACTCTTTATTCTGTTATTCTCAAGGAAGCTTCTCTTTTCGCAGCAATGTGGATCTCAATAGTAGTTTTTTCGCAATCAAGAAAATAATCCTCTTCGTGATTTAAATGTAAAAAAGGTGTCACTCACAATCAAGTACTCATATAAATTAGTGTATTTGAGAGTTGCAGCAGCTGAAGTTTGCAGCAAGTGAAGTGAAAGTACTCACACAGATGCTTATAACTTAACTAGATCATTAATGATCTGGTTTCTACTACATGAATTCTAATATCCTAAGGACTTGGTCCAACTTGAGTGTGTATTGAAAGTTGAAACATACATACAAGACTAAACAAAAGATGCTATCATTTCTACACATATTCCTACTAAAATTCTGCATAATAAGTATAAATGAAATACTTCTTATTATAATTCAGATTTATAAATTACAAATATACATATGCAACTGAACATAATAAGAAAAATCTCCTACAAAATTAAAGTAAGTGAATTATATTAATCATGAATTTTTTTTAGGATTTATGAAACAAACTCCTTATAGTTAAGTGTTCTAAAGTAATTCTATTAAAAAAGTGTTGTCAGATCTCACTTTGTTTTCCTAAAGACTCTACTGTTTAAATTAGATGGTACCTTTGCGAATCGCACACTCACATTAGTTGAATCCACCCGTCAGCAAAGTAGTCGATCACATTAGATGGTTTCTTGAGGTCAATGACTCAAATTTGAAACCATAACTTTAATCCACTGGACCCATCAGCAAAATTCCTAGTTTAGACTAATTTTGACCCCTAATAGTGATTTCCAACTACCAAAAGTCCAGTAGCATTAGAAGAAGATAAAAACTAAATTATGAGTAATGGGAGATGCACCAGCCGAGTATGCGAAAGGGAGATGCACCAGCCGAGTATGGGAGGAGAGAGAGAGAAAAATGAGGTTCTAATGGTTGACGCGGGTTCTACTTGATTAATGAGTAATGGGTGAAAGATATTTTCTTTTGTTATTTTATTTGGTATATTATTCTTATCAAGGCGGATTTAGCCTCTTCAGAATGGAGTGGGTTAATTTTGAACTGGATTATTATTACTATTTTATTTTATTTTTTTATTTTTTATTTTGGTTGGGCTTAAAATAGTATGACAAAAAACTAAAGCTTCAGCCCACCCTTGATTCTGATGAATGTAACGATGGATGATGAATAATGGAAAACAAAGATCAGGAAAGGATAAGAAGTACAAAGGGCAGCTGGTACCACTAATGTGAAATTTTGGTACAAAATGTGATGACGGTGCATTTTTCCTTTAAATGTAACTGCTTTGTGACTTCGGTGCGTGAATTAGAGAAGAGCAAAGAGGGAAAAATTGAGGACACACGTAAGAGAGCCGAGAGTTTGCACAGAGGCCAAGAGCTTTGAGGCTTTTTGATGATTCGATGATGATTTATTTATTTTGCAGTGTAGGGTTCTTATATCTTGAAGTATCTGGGTGATTTTATTTCGAATATTTTGTCAATGCTATTTTGTTAAAATTGCATATATGTATTTTTATTTAAAAGCATATATATTATTTTGTGAAGTTAATTTTCATGAAACCTTTTGAGATCCTTGTTATGGTTTTTTCTACGTCTCACCCCCTTTCAGTTTCAGGTACCGAAGATGAACGTGGATTCATAATTGCGGGCTTAGGTGGAAGAGTTGGTGTTGAGGAATTAATTTAATTTATTTAGAGATGATGTATTTTAATATTGAGGAAATTGATTTGTATCAATAAAGAGATTTTGTGTATTTTATTTAGAATCCTGGGTGTAATATTGAAGTATTTTGATTTGAATAAATCGAGAAATTTATTTAGAAAATTTGGGTCTCAAGGTAGGTCGTTCTGACTCTCAAGGTCGGTCGTTCTGACCTACAAGGTTACGCGTTCTGACTTACATGGTCACGCGTTCGGACTTAGATGGTCAAGTGTTCTGATCTACATGATCATGCGTTCGGACTTACACGGTCAGGCATTCTGACCTACGTGGTCACGCGTTCTGACTTACATGGTCACATGTTCGGACTTACATGGTCACGCATTCTGACCTACATGGTCAAGCATTCGGACTCCGAATCAGGTAATTCTTGAGTCTAACCTGTTCATTTTTCGTTGTCTTTCCAATAGTGTGCGCGGTAGCACCCATTTCAGTTTGAAATGACCATTTTACTCCTTTCGCTTTCGCATTTCGGATTCGTTAGCGGGTCAACTTTCAGGTCATCACTGACGCACCAAGTTTATAAAACCAGGACCGTCACAGCTTGGGGATTGTGTATATATACAACAGCATTGTTAAACTCCTTTGCATATATTTGATATATAGAAACTATCAGTTGCATGAAGCATGGCCAATAACAATGCCTACATGCAACTCCTAGCTCTTATTCTTTTGTCAGGGTGTCTATACCTTGAGAACATTAGAATCATCTCTTGTCATGGTTATCTTGACACGAGTTGTGTGAAAATCGAGAAAGAAGCTTTGCTCAAGTTCAAGGGAGGTCTCACGGATCCGTCAGGCCGGCTCTCTTCTTGGGTAGGTGAAAATTGCTGCCAATGGAGTGGCATAAGATGCGACAATGAGACAGGTCATGTTATCAAACTCAACCTTCACAATTCATTTCCTGATAGTTTTGATGGTGATGGAACAACTCATCATCTAGGTGGTGAGATAAATCCTTCTTTGCTTGATTTGAAATATTTGAATTACCTGGACTTGAGCATGAACAATTTTGTAGGACTTAGAACTCCATCGTTCTTTGGATCGCTTGAGAAGTTGAGGTATCTCAATCTATCTAGTGCATCCTTTAGTTCTATTCCTCAAAACCTTGGAAAACTTTCAAGCTTACAATATCTTGATCTTAATAGATGTTGTGATATTTCCAACAAGACTGACCTTACATGGCTCTATGGTCTTTCTTCTTTGAAGCACCTTAATTTGGGCTACATAGACCTTAGTAATGCCTCTGATGATTGGTTACAAGCTCTTAACATGCTTCCTTCTCTTCTAGAGTTGCACCTACCTGCTTGTGGGTTGTCCAAACTTCCTCTCTCCCTTTCTTTCGTTAATTTTTCTTCGCTCTTGGTCCTTGATCTTTCCAACAATGATTTCAGCTCCTCGATACCTTACTGGCTGTTCAATGTCAGTAAGCTTCAATATCTTGATCTTAGCTCCAATAATCTCCGAGGCACAATTCCTAATGAATTTTCAAGCATGACTTCTATCCAAACTCTAGACTTGTCGGAGAATGCTTACATTGGAGGTCAATTATCAAGAGATTTGGGAAATATGTGCAATTTGCAAGAATTGGATCTTTCTCTCAACAATATCAGTGGTGAAATAACTGAGCTCATTGATGGATTGTCAAGGTGTGCCAACAGCAGTTTAGAGGTACTGGATTTGGGATACAATAAACTTGGGGGGTGTCTTCCTAGTTCACTAGGAAGCTTGAAAAACCTCAAGCGTCTTCAACTGTGGAGAAACTCATTTCTTGGTTCAATCCCGGGTTCCATTGGAAACCTGTCGTCCTTGAAGGAATTGTACCTCTCAGAAAACCAAATGAATGGTACAATTCCAAAAAGTCTTGGACAACTTTCTTCGTTGGTTGCCTTGGACATAACAGAGAACTCGTGGGAGGGTGTTGTAACAGAAGCTCATCTGTTGCACCTCAAAAGTCTGAAGGAGTTGTGCATTGGCAAGTTTTCTTTCTCCCCAGAGGTTACCTTGGTTTTCAATGTGAGTTCTTTGTGGTTGCCTCCTTTTAAACTTCAATATCTCGACTTAAGTTCATGTCAGTTAGGCCCGAAATTTCCTGAATGGCTTAGAAATCAAAATGATCTAAATACTTTAGTTCTCAGGAACACTCGAATTTCAGGCTCCATACCAGATTGGTTGTGGAAGTTAGATCTGCAGTTGGATGAACTGGACCTCAGTTATAATCAATTAAGGGGTAGGGTACCAAATTCTCTAAATTTTCATCCTCAATCCACCCTTAACTTGATTATGAACTGCTTTGAGGGTCCTCTTCCACTCTGGTCATCTAATGTGAGTGAACTGTATTTGAGTAACAATCTGTTTTCCGGACCAATTCCTCCAAACATCGGCAAAAGAATGCCCATGTTGACTGATTTAGATCTCTCTCACAACTCTCTCAACGGTACCATTCCATTGTCCATTGGTAGACTAATTGATTTGACAACTCTTGATATCTCAAATAATCACTTGTCTGGAGGAATTCCTGGATTTTGGCATAACATTACAACCTTGTTTCTTATAGACATGTCAAACAACAGTTTATCAGGAGAGATCCCTACTTCTATGGGTTGTCTAACTTCACTTAGGTTCTTGATGCTGAGCAACAATCATCTTTCTGGCGAATTCCCTTCTTTGTTGCAAAACTGCTCGAACATGGTTACCCTTAGTCTTGGGGAGAATAGATTCTACGGTAGCCTTCCATCATGGATAGGAGAAAGGATGCCATCATTGTCTATTCTAAGTCTCAGATCCAACTTGTTCAATGGAAGTATTCCTGTAGAACTATGTCACATTTCCTATCTTCATATTTTGGACTTGGCGGAAAATAACTTGTCAGGCTCAATCCCTCCATGTTTAGGGAATCTTAAAGGTATGAAATCTGAACTTAGTTCTACTACGCGCTTTGAGGGGCAGCTATTACTGGTGTCAAAAGGAAGAGTACTTCTATTCCAGAGTACTCTTTATCTTGTGCATCTGATAGACCTTTCAAGCAACAGTCTAAGTGGTGAGGTGCCTGAAGAGTTGGCAAATCTTTCAAGAATGTGCACTTTGAACTTGTCCATAAACCACTTGACAGGAAATATTCCACACAAGATTGGAAAGTTGCAGAACCTCGAAACTCTTGACCTCTCGAGGAACCAGCTCTCTGGTCCTATTCCTTACAGCATGACTTTGTTAACTTCTCTCAATCACTTGAACCTGTCAGACAACAACCTTTCGGGAGAGATTCCATTGGGCAACCAATTCGGGACGCTTAATGATCCATCCATTTACAAGGGTAATCCTGGCCTCTGCGGGCCTCCATTGACAATCAACTGCTCGCGTTCTCCCCGTGGAGATGGACAATACCAGGAGGATGATGAAGAAGAAGATGGAGATGAGTTTGACTGGCCTAGTTTCTATATAAGCATGGGACTGGGATTTGTTGTGGGCTTTTGGGGAGTTTTTGGAGTCTTACTAGTAAAGAAGTCCTGGAGGTATGCCTACTTCCGGTTGGTGGATGACATGAAAGATAGGTTCATGGTGGTGGTCTTGATCAACTTTGCTCGTCTGCGAAGAATAATGGAGCAGCAAAGGAACTGAGATTTGATGTGAGTACGAACCAGCATGCTTGGAGAAGAAATACATTTTGCGGTTGACTGGTTTTGGCAAAATTCTAGAGGGCAAAGTTTTCAAGAGAGAGTGTTGTGTTCCTTGTTTTCTCATGCTGCTTGTTTTCGTTAATTTGCTTGGTTTTTTTGCTTTACTGGAAATGGGCTTTGTCCATTTTGGTTTTGTACCATATAAGGGGACATGCCTCCTTTTTATTCTTGTACCTTATTTTGATATAATTTTAAAAAAATAAATAAATAAAAAATTACTAAAGCTGTATTTTGAGCTGCAATTTTCATTTTTCATTTTTTTTTTTAGTTTTAAAATTGTTTGTACACGGTTTTCTTCTTCACTTTCTTGTGGACTGTGATGTAGTAAAGAATAAAATATGCTCTATTGTTGCAATAAAAGTCATTTCCATGGGAGAAGACTGACTCAAGTATCAAATACTAGCACTCATTAAGTGATATACAAGTGTCGAAAGGGTAGAAGTCTAAAAGAAACAGGTGATGATGATACACGGACTAAACAACTTTTAGCTCCTACTTTTCTTCAGTAAAGTCTAAAAGAAACAGGTGATGATGATACACGGACTAAACAACTTTTAGCTCCTACTTTTCTTCAGTAAAGAACTATATGTAGATTAAATGAATGGATCCTACATTTGTTTCCGTATACCATCCCATAACATGTTTTCTAAAAACGACAATGAATATGAAGCTCCATGCATGCCGAAATTTATTTTCAAAAATTTAGATAATATATTTTTTTTAGAGGGTACATTGTACACTAAATACATAATAATGTGTATATATATATAAATTAGTGTTTATAGAATATATATGTAGAGAGAGAGAGATGTGTGAATATATATAGCGAGAAACATATTTTTGGCATGAGAAAAATTAATAAATTACATATATAAAATATGATAATGAAACAATTTAAGATTTTTTTTTTTTAAAAAGAAATATACGAGTATACAAGGGAAAGGAGAAATATCAGGAGGGACATTTTTATATATTTTCAATATATATATATATTATAGAAAAATATATGTAAAAAAATAACGAAAGAAAAAAATTCAAGGGCACGTGTACTGCCTCTGTCCCCTGGGATCGTGTGTGACTGTCAGACTTGTATTATCTAAGTTAAATATTTTCTAACTTATCCTAAGTTGAATTCGCTACAGATTGACATGCGACATTTAAAATCTATCTGCTGTTGTTAAACCACGTCAACAATTTAAAAAAAGTTTGAAAACTGCACCGTTTTGAGATAAAGAAAAATTTACCAAAGTTTGAAAACTGCATTGTTTTAAATTATGAAAAATTCACACCATACTCTAACTAACGTTTATTGTTATCTCTCCCTCACCACATCTTTTCTATATATATAGGGTTTTTTTGTTGTATTTTCATAACTTCATCAATATCCATTTACATATTCATTGGAATAAGCAAGAAGAGAGAGAAGGATGATCTTTTTTTAAAAAAGATGAGGGAGAGATAACAACGTTCGTTAGAATATGGTAATTTTTCTTAATTTGAAAGGTACAATTTTTAAACTTTGATAATTTTTCTTATCTCAAAATGGTGCAATTTTCATACTTTATTTAAATTAGTTGATGTGGTTTAACACTTAGATAGATTTTAAATGTTAGCTGTCAATTTGTAACGAATTCAACTTGGATAACTTAAACTTAGATAACTTAAAGAATATTAAATTAGAGGATCCAAGTGTCACATTTTTAAGTAGTTATAGGTGTGAAATGTTAATGATGCAAACTATGAGAAACCTGACTGTTAATGAGCAATTTTGTACTGTTCAAGCAAACTATTCACACTCATACATACACTACATTCGTATTTGCGTGCACGTTTTCATTAATGATGAATAGCTATGTGAAAACAAAAAAAAGGCGTGGCACATTTTTAACCCTTGGATGCATCTTTGGAGATGCTTCTAGCTGCTGTACGAACTCTGAATGAGAGGAAAAAAAAAAAAGAAAAAAAAAAAAGGAAATTTGTGTTCTACTGAGCCTAATTCTAAGATTCATTATATTGCACATTTTAATATAAGTTGTCATATGATCTTGGACACAAAAATCGCAAATGGAAATGGATCCTATCCAATCATTTTTGTTTTCGAGCGTGCATGTAAGGGTTAAAATATGCTTTTAGAAACATATTGTACATTTTAATACAAGTTGTCATCTATCAAATAGGAGTATTATCTATGAGTATACATATGTGAGACACGGTGGGCGGGAGCAGCTCTGTAAGAGGCAAGGCTCTGGTGCGAGTTATGTGTGCTCAAAATTTTCATATTGTCAGGGTATGAAAGATTGAAATGCTATATGTAGGATCATTATCTTTCTATGAGACAAAGTGTTTTAAAATCGTGATGATCGTAAATCCATTAGAATTCCTTAGTTAAAGGTGGTAAACTTTGAGTAGTACCATAATGGGTGAAAATCTGCGACAAAGAGCCATGTATGGTATAATATAGTATAAGTCCATTAACAAAAGGACAAACTGGTCATAAGGCACAAAAGGAGCCCAACAAGAGGCTCGTATAAAACCTATCTAGGTAAACAGTGAGAGGCCCAAAGAACAAGCATATAGAATGGCCCAAAATAAATTGGCACGTTTAGAATGGCCCATCAGCTTATGCACTTTATCTGTTTGATGAGCTCCCTTCCTAAATATAAAGTCAATTATCAAAGGATAACTGGTCTATATATATATATATATATTAAATGAAAATTCAAATTAGACCTCTCTCTAGGCATTGTGAACAGGGTGATTGTTAGTTTATTATATAAACAATCCTTTAAATGGAGATGAGATGATGACCTGATTGGATGATGATGATTTTGCATGAAATTGTGTCTAAAAATATAAACTATTTTTTCTCTAATTCTACTTCCAAAATACCAATCTGAAGAGAGCATAAATTTATTCGCAATCTAAGACCAACAAAATACAAATGAAGCGAGAAGATGGGTACAGCGTTCTACAAATCTCACTATAATTGAAGAGAGGAAGGAAAAAAAAAAAAAAAAAAATTCAAAAATTGTGATTATGGCTTTATATATATATATTCTTTAGTTTTCAACATAATATACATGAAACAAGGAACTATAAGAAAGAAAACCAAAAACCTTAAACTCTGTTGTAGAACAGAATCTTAATGAAATAGGTGACACAACAATCAAATAAAAAAGTTTTCTACTATATATAAATAAATATGCTAATTAATTAATTAATTAAAGTTATTTAGAGTGATACTTCAATTTCTTGCAATATTGGATCTTGCATTGCTTGGACTGATCACCCAACATTGATACCCTTGTTGTAGTTGTCGTTGTGTTATGAGAAGAAATCACGACCTTCACATCCTCACAAGTGACTCTCATATTCAGCCCTCTGTCAACATAGTATGGTTTTGCACCAAGCCTCACAACATCATCTATTGTCACAGCAAAATTCATCAAACCACCACTTTTTGACCAATCCGCCACCAAAATATCATCATTGCCCAGGGACACCAAGGTAGCCTCTAGGAATGTTTCGCATCAGACCACCACTTTTTGCCGTGGATGACGAGAGATTGACCTCTTTGTACAAAACCGAAGCATTAATGGCTTGTTCGTGAATGATTTTCCCAAATCTGTTAGTGTTCCGAACATTGAAAGTCCCATTCCAACTTATCATAGTAGTATTTACACTAGAGGTCATGTTGAATGCAGGTGAGACATTGACAGAGAGTGAATGAAGATGAAAGATTGGAGGGTGTGGTACATAGTGACTGTCTAAATAGATTGCAGTGTCCACAAGAATGATGAAGGTAGCTCCCAGAGTGACATAAATGTGACATAAATGTATGCTGTTACATGTATATTATGTTTAGAGGTGTGCTGGACGGGAACGGTTGCTCAGGGCATTCTGTAGTATATAATATAGAACTTTTTAGAGAAGAATATATGTATAGATACATACAAGAAAGATGTGTATATATATATAATAATAAACGTACAAGGAAAGAATTGGTGGATGGTCTCTCAATTTTGTTCTAATTTTTTTAAATCAGATTATGTTTACATAAGCATTTGAACCATAATTTTTCTGGTGTCTCCTAATATCAATCAAAACACAATTCAAACAAACAAACCGAAACACAAACCACACCAGATCAGAGAGTTCAATTTGAACCCTAAGAATTATAATCAAACACAAATCAACCAAGGTGAAGAAGAGAAAGTAATAGCACAAACCCTTAAATCAAACACATATATATGATTTTAAAAATAATTTTGTAAGCAACATTACATATGGCAATGAGACCAGGTGAAGCAATTTTTATGATTCAAGCTAGAAAGGAGGTACCCCTAATGAATGAAGGTACGGACCCAGTCACCTCCTTTTTCACAACATGTTGAACTTCAGCTTCTGATGGTGGCTGCAATAAGGCTTGATTCATGTCTTCTGTTATTTTGCACGGGACGTATTGTCCAAGTGAAAAAGGGGTTGAAAGTAGTGGACAAAAATATAATTCACTTTTGGGTCATTCTATTTTTCCCATGTAAATGAACCAGGTAGAATAAAACATGGAAGGAGAAATTGTCTTAATTTTGGAAAATCAAGCTCCAAATCCAAGAAAATGACTCCCAACATCATTGAAGTGATGTGTTAATTTTAAATTCATATTCGAAAAAAAAATTGCAGGTGTCAAAGGTTTTTAAATAATGGAAACTACATAATAATCATATTCCATTTTTGCAAACTACTCGTTTTTTTTTATTAAAGATTTTTATAAGATGATTAATAGTAAATGTATGATGAAGTTGAAAGATCATGTTACTTTTCTATTTATAATATTAAAAAAAATTAATTATATATATATATATAAATAGAATTTATTAAATTTTGTTGTTATATCCTAACTCATATAAAGTTCATTCTTCCGGCTAGAGAGAAGAGATATCGATTCAATGCAGTGCATGGGATCAGTGTGAATTATTTATATATATATACAGTAAAAGTGATGTAGCAATTATTTTCAATTATTATTATTATTATTTGATTATATATCTCGTGATTCATGAAAAAAAAAAAAAAAATACGTGTTCTCTGTAGAAATTGGAATATGAAATGTGTACGTATATATGGTTATATATCAGTTTGACGCATTTTTGTCATTTTCGTGGTGTAGTGTGATCCAGACTGTTCAAATCGTTATTTTACAATATCATGTGCATATATCTACTATATGGATAACAGAAATTTCATTTAAAATATTTTTGATATATAACTACTAGCTGTACTATTTACAGTATCACTTCATTGGTTCATTTTCTTAATTTCTTTCTATATCATATATTCATATCCTCTAATTTTTTTATAATACAGACACAGACACGACACAAATATATTGATTAGTCAATTAAATTTTATAAAAATAAAATACTAAGATATAAGTCAATTCATTTATATATGTTTTGAAT